AAGGTGCCGTTGGTAAAGGAAAGAGGGATGATCCTGTCTCTGTCTTCTGGGAATTGATAGTCTAAATTCCAATCCTAGTCTACCCCTAAATTCCCACTGAGGAAAGCGTCCTTGGCTATTAGTGCAAGCACTAAAAAAAATCAAGGCATAGAGATATGACTAAAAATGCCAACAGACAAATTAAAATGCTGTTAAAACGAGTATTTAGTTAAGCCAAAAAGAAGGTGGGAAAGGAGGAGCAGAGAATAGAAAACAAAAGGGAGAAAACACCCAACTGTATCAATATTACATTAAACATAAATGTCTAAACATTTTGATTAAAAGAGACCTTATCAGACTGGATAAAAGCAAGACAGACTTTATATATGAAAACATAGATAAGTTGAAAGAAAATGATATGTCATGCAAAAAATAAGCATAAAAAAACATTAATATCCGATAGACTTCAAGACAAAGTTTTATCAGTGATAAAGAAGAACATTTAATAATGATAAAAATGTCAATTCTTCAGGAAGATATAACAATCATAAATTTGTATGCACCCAAATCAGAGGACAAGATGGTAGCGAGGATAAATTTAAAGTCTTCGTCATAGGAGGCTACTGTGAACTGGATATGGGGTTTAGACCCAGCAACTGGCACAGGATTTGTGGGCCCCCATGTATGCATGGAGTTGTTCTGCTTATAAAGTTTTAGGAGTGGTCTAATGCATCCAGTGAATCTCTGTATTCTCAGCTGAGACAGTTAGAAGAAATGAATAAACCAGGGTCTCCAATTTGGGAGCAAAACATGGGCCAGGCTGCTCTTTCAGGTGTGCCACAAAACACTGGCCCTTCAGACTGTGAGCCCTCATCTCAGCTTCTCACTGTCAGCCAGGTTAGGCTCACAGAGACAGCTGATAGGAACAGGAACAGGTCTACCCTCCTTAGTAGGGGCTGGCTGTGAGGCTCTGGTCTTGCTTCCCATTCAGCCTCATTTCCTCTCCTCCCTCACTCTGAAACCCAGCCATGGCTTCTGTCAATCTAAGAATATGTGCTGTTTCCTTCATACACATTCCATACAGAATGCCAGTAAGCTCTTCTCTACTTTACTCTTGCTTCTGCTTCAAGACTGGCTCAGCAGCTAAGAGTTCAACAGAATGATAGCCGAGCTAAGTGAAGAAGGAGAATCTTGAGGATCAAGGAAGTGAGTTAATAATTGACCACACAATTTAGGCTGAGTGGGGAGGGGGAAGGGACATCAAATGGGGATTGACAATGAAAAGATGGTGGGTTCAAAGGGACCCATTTAGGTTCAATTTTGGTTGCAGTTCAGTGACCGAGTGACTGGGAAAGACAGGAGATGCTGGTCAGACCATGGGGTGTGACACTGAGACATGAACAACATACATTCTATTTCACGTTATTTTCCAAGTTGTTCAATGTTTCATTTTAAAATGGATGAAATATTCATCTAAATTTTATCAAGTCTTGAGTCCCTATTTTTCCTCTTGTGTCCCAGTTGAGTAGTGGTTTGATAATAAGATTGTCTCATATCATCAAGAGCAGCTTTCCACCAGTTAGGTAACTTATATACTTGTCATTCTGAAAGGACCGTGACTGACGAGACACCTGATGACCTGGGCTTCCTACACAATGTCACTGAGTTTTGATAAATCATGATGAAAGATAAAACTCTCTAGCAATGAAGACAGTACTGGGGATTTCCTTTTTGGGCTATGTTCCTTATTCTTTAACATAATAACTGCTAAAATTCTTCTTGGATAGCTTCTAGGACAAATGAGTTGCATAATAAGATTTTTAAAAGCCCCCCAAAACTGGTTCTGGTATTGAAAAGGAAACCAGGAAACAAAGCAAGTTTCAAAATCAACAGAACCTGCTGAAGATACATCCTACAAGTAAAAAACTGACATACCAGAAAGGATCCTTAACCTCCTCTGAACAAATTTCATGACTCTACAGATCCTTCCAGGTCCTACCCTGTGTTCTTTTGAATCTGGAATTCCCCTTGTTTGCAAATATCTGACTTATTTTCAAATAAATACGATCAGTTTTCCTTTTCAAATAGCCTTCTGCCTTTTGTTTGCCTGCGAGAGTGACTCCCAGAAGGGGTGGTGTGTGTGCACATTTGCCTCACCTGGGACACTGCAGTGTTGGGCTTTGGATTGGTGGTCACTTCCCTCATTTCTTTCTGCTTGCACATTCTTAGTAAAACATAAAAGCCATGCTTCAAAATTTTGAGTCTACACAGTTTTTCTCCCAACAATAATTGCCTCCTCTGATCTCTGCAGGCTGGGGTAGGAGTCCCTGCCTTGGAGCCTAGAGCAGCCTGTTCCCAGCTCTGTCACAGACAGCACTGTCTGAGCCTCCATCAATAAGGTGAGCTGCCTTATGGTGGGGACTGGGCAGCTCCTGGGCAGAAAAGAGATCCGGCACACACTCGCAGCCTGCCATTCCTACCTCCTCTCAGAGCTGCCATTATGTCGAGGTGACTGCAGGCCGCTGCGTATCTGCGCTGTCTGACAAAACCTGCTCCCTAGTCTGCCCTCAGCTTGACCTGAGGGCTGACAAAGGCACCGCTATTACTTACTGTCCATCATCAGAGCGGCCAGTGCTCCCGGACCACACAGTACCCCTGACCCAAGGATCCAGACCGCTTCTCTGGAATTGCAGAGTGAGGACAAAGTTGTCTCTCCGAATGAACTGTCTATTCCTCAGGGCCTAGAAGAGTGCCCGGCATATGATGGTCTGGAGGTGATAGCAGAGTGAATGAGATGAATGTGGAACAGATGGACTCCAGCTCATTTCCTTTTTCTGTCTTGGCTATTAGATGTCCTCAAAGCCAAGTTTAGATTCTAACTGCCATTATTTCCCTGCTTTTCTGCTAATAATCCTTTTTGGTTTTTATTTTGGGCTCTTATCTTGGCATTTTGGCTTTATTATAGCTTATCTTTCATGCTAAGTCATGTTTCTAGGAGTAGCTTGTATAAGTACAGGGAACAAGATGGGGAAGATTTTCAGTCACCAGTCTCCCTGCTGGGGAGAACACCCTATATTGTTAGACGTTCCCTGGCAAGTTGCCAGCGGACCCTGACTCCTGAGGAGGCAGCGGCGAGGACAGGAGGTAGAGAGCTAGCGAGAAGCCTTGCTGGCTCCGTGCAGCCCCTCCTTGGGCCCCTCCCTCCAGATCCAAGATTTCTTGTAGATTGCTGATGAAGGGCTGGAATCCGAGTCTAGGCTAGCATAGGGCAGAGAGAGCCCTCGAGCAGCAGAAAGGAGGGGTTAAAGTGAAAACTAAGGCACAGGACTCCTAAATTCCCATCTCTGAGAGGCTGGGGGCCAAGGGACATAAAGGGTGGAGAGGATAAAGGGAGAAAGTACATCTGAGTGACAGGTTCTGTCAATTATAAAACTGGATCTGAACTAATTTGGGAGTGAAGACAGCGCTACAAAATTATCTGCTATATGTAGAGGGAAACAATTTAGTCAGAGAGTTTGAAGATTTATATTATTTTTTTTTAAACAAGTTTTTCTTTCTTTTTTAAAGATTTATGATTTGGGGGTTTTTTTTTTTTAGTTTTTTTTGTTTGTTTGGTTTTTGAGAGAGAGAGAGAGAGAGAGAGAGAGAGAGAGAGAGAGAGAGAGAGCATGCTAGTGGGGGTGAGGGGCAGAGGGAGAGAATCCCCAGGCAGAGCCCCGCTGAGTGCTGAAGCCACCTCGGGGCTCAATCCCACAACCCATGAGACCATGACCTGAGCTGAAACAGAGTCCAATACTCAACTGACTGAGCCACCCAGGCACCCCTAGTCAGAGAATTTGGATACAGGTTGGTTCCTGACTAATCTCTGAAATCTGACCCCAAACTCTTAACAAAAAAAGTCCCAGAGCTGTCCAAGGCCCACCTATACTTGTGCATGAGGTAGACAGTATCCAGATGAAATATGAAAATTAGGAAAATTGGTGGGGACTGTCTCTCAAGGCCAAATGGAGTTTTAATGAAGTTATATAAAATGCTGACCCCCAAAGAGAGAGCAACTTTCAAAGACAACAGAAAAAGCTGGCTTAAGAAAAATCTGTTGTGGGTCTCAGGACAGTAGAAAGACCAGACCCCACAGAGGCCAAGAAATCTGGGGCCTCTGGACAGTTGTGTGACTTTGGGCAAGCTTCTTAACTGCTCTGAGCCTCAGTGTCTTTACTAATAAATAGGGATGTCCGGAGTGCCTACATCACAGGGCTGTGGATGGGACAGAATGAGACAATGTATCTAGTTAGTGGGCATAGTAGCACAGTTTACATGGGCTTGCCCAGTGGATGGGGATTCCATCCTTGCTCCAGGCTTGCAGTCTAATAGCTACATGTGAAATGTGCATAAGAGGTCTGCATGGCTAAGAGTGTCAATGAGACTTCTCACTGCTCATTTAGGATCTTAATATATATATATATATATATATATATATTTTAAGATTTTATTTATTTACTAGAGAGAGCACGTGAGAGAAAGAGAAAGAGCGTGCACGCGTGCGTGAGCAGGGGGAGGGGCAGAGGGAGCAGACTCCCCGCTGAGCAGGGAGCCTGACACGAGGCTCGAGCCCAGGACCCTGGGATCATGACCTGAGCTGAAGGCTGATGCTTAACCGACTGAGCCACCCAGGCGCCCCAGGATCTCCCCCCACAGATAGATATGAGCAGGTATGGTGAAACAGGACACAAGGATGGCCTCAATCTTTTGTCTAGATTTTATCACCGTAACATGCTAAGTTTCACTCTCCCTGAACATGAACAGAGTAAGAAGGACATGGGTCTCTATTATAGGTTCACATCCTAAAATGAAAGCAGTTAACGTTTAGATAACCTGCCTCCCAGGTTAGCCCAACTAATAGATCTTTGAAACCAAGAATGATGACACCTTTACAGAAAGGAAAACCAGACAGATTCTTGCTGTGGTGGAAGAGTTCTTTCATACCTAAGAGGTGAAGAACGTCATGAAAAACTCAGACTCACCAGGGCTTGCAGTTTAGGACAGTGGACGGAGAGCTGGATGAGTGTGCTGTCGGTGATCTGGAGAGAAACAAGCTGTGTCAATGTGGCTTCCACACCAGAACTTAATACCTAATTTTGGTTTCTCCTGAACATGAGAATCAAAAGGTGTAAAACAGAATTAAAAACTCATCTCAAGCACACTCAGGCTGGGAGCCCCTCTCTTCACCAACAACCTCAAATCCAGCAGACACAAAGCTGTTCTTTGGTCTCTCCTCTGGTGCCCCAAGGGGGCCCAGGGACAGGGGAAAAAGGAGTAGGTAAGGAGGGTCCCCCAGGATTCTCCTCTGTAGTCACCTCATCACTGGACATGCAAACTAATTTCTCCCTTCAGTTCTGTGAAAGACTTTTTTTTTTTTTTTTTTTTTTTTTTTTTTAATGTTTGGCAAAAGATGGAGCTACCCTGAACTTCTCAGCTGTAGCTCTGATGGCTGACTAGAGCCCAAAGTTCATGCATCCCACTGCCATGGTCCTTATTGGGTTCCCAATTCCTGACATGTTGGGGTGAGGGGGGTCCAGACAACAGCCAGCTAGGGTCTCTGGCTATGCCTGGTTGTCTCTCAGGACTGAGGGGCGGCCCTGCAGGGCTTGTCAGGAGTCTACTTACCAGGATGCATTCTTCAAGATCCATCTTCTCCAGGTCATGGCAATTCTGGAAAAGTCCATAAGACCCCCCCCCCAACCATGTGGTCAGTGGTCAGGGCAACACTGGTGCCTTGCCCTATCCCTCTGAGTACTGGCCCAGTATCCTTGTTCTCTTCCAGTAAGGAGTGTGTCCTATTCTTAAAGTGACCCAGTGAGCCAGCAGTTCTGAGCAGGTGTTTTTTGAATCACATTCCTTTTGGAAATGGGAATGTGGCTGCCTGGAGCTACATTTCCTTCTCTCACCTGGAAAGATTAGTGGCCTCCACCTTCCCAGTGACTATGGATATCATCCTATAAATTTTAGCCATAGAATAGGCTCAGGAAGGCATGGGGGTGGGGTGTTCAGGCACAGTTTGGACAGGTCAGGGTTGGGGTAGGAGGAAGAGTGTATCACCATCCCCAGAAGGTCATGGGTTCCCAGCTGCAGGCCAGAGGGACCCCCGTGATGGTCAGTGTCTGCAGGGTGATGTGGAAGAAGGAGCAGAGGGAGAGCACAGCTCAGTTAGGGGAGGCCACTGAGAGACTGAGTCAGTGTTTGTACGAGAAAGGGCATGTCCTGCCAGGGAGGCCATTCCTCTTGCTGTGGCCCCACCCGACCAAATGAGAGTGAGGTCTAGACCTGCTCCAGAACCCCCTACAGGACCACTTTAGCATTCTGGGGAAAATGGGAAAATGTACTGAGGATGCTATCCAAGTTGGTACCTGTTCTTTCTGAAGGTACACACATTTTTGCACACTCCAAAACCACAGAAACTTATTTTGAAATGAGGGAGGTGAATTATAGTTTGGTTCTATTTTTTGAAACCTCTGGCTTACCCGAGCTAAAAGTGTAAAGCCTGCATCAGTCAAATGGGAACACCGTGCAGCCTCCAAAATCCTGGGATAGAGAGTGTGTGGGAGGAAAACGTAGTGACTGGTTAACAACAGAAACACACACTTAAGATTCACACTATTGAGTTTATTCTGCCTTCGGACACACCTCTGCTTCTGGAACAGTCCTGAGGACTGTAAATGCAAATGCTGTCCCACCGGATAGATGAGGGAAAGGAGGCTTAGGGAGAAGTGTGGCCTGCCCTAAGTCCAACAGTTCCAGCCCAAACTCAGGGGGCGAACCCAGGAATCTTCCCACAATTCCAGGACATTGTTGCTCCTGTTGTTTTTAAATATTATTCCAGTATTTGTTGACTTTTAAACACAATTAAAATGAACTTTTACTCAACAAAATTATCTTGATATATACTGCATTTAATGAAATTCCCAGTTACCCTAAAGGAACTTTTAAAAAATTTGCAGCCAATGAAAAACGTGAGTTAATTCTCAATGCCCATGCTTAATAGGGACAGAGGAATAAATAACATTTTAAAGTTAAATACTCCTTGTAGCAGTAATTTTGACCACCTTTCTGACCAGTTTTGATCACCCACATTCCTCTGCTCTTCAGAAATATCAAAATTATCTAGAATCCTATGACTTTGGATTGCACTACTGGGTATTTACCCCAAAGACACAGAGGTAGTGAAAAGAAGGGCCATATGAACCCCAATGTTCATAGCAGCAATGTCCGCCAAACTGTGGAAGGAGCCGAGATGCCCTTCAACAGATGAATGGATAAAGAAGATGTGGTCCATATATACAATGGAATATTACTGAGCCATCAGAAAGGATGAATACCCAACTTTTACATCAACAGGGATGGGACTGGAGGAGATTATGCTAAGTGAAATAAATCAAGCAGAGAAAGACAATTATCATATGGTTTTACTTATTTGTGGAACATAAGGAAGAGCATGGAGGACATTAGGAGAAGGAAGGGAAAAATGAGGGGGGGGAAATGGAGGGGGAGACGAACCATGAGAGACTATGGACTCTGAGAAACAAACTGAGGGTTCTAGAGGGGAGGGGCATGGGGGGAGGGGTTAGCCTGGTGATGGGTATTAAGCAGGGCACGTACTGCATGGAGCACTGGGTGTTATACGAAAACAATGGATCGTGGATCACATCAAAAACTAATGATGTATTTTTTTGTTTTGTTTTCAAAAACTAATGGTGTTTTGTATGGTGACTAACATAATAAAATAAAATAAAAGTTTTTAAAAAAATTATCTAGACTCATCCTTAATTCAACAGTAAGAAAAATGGACAAAGGACAGCAATTGACAATCCGTAAAGATGTGGAACTGGTGTAAGCCATAACATAATAAAATAAAATAAAATTTAAAAAAAATTATCTAGAATCATCCTTAATGCAACAGTAAGAAAAATGGGCACAGGACAGCAATAGACAATCTGTAAAAGATGTGAAACTGGTGTAAGCATGAGAAACAGATAAGTTTTACTGAGAAGTAAAATAAGTATCTTTTTTCTGCCTCTTGTGCAGGGGGTAAGATTGCTGGTTCTGAACAAAGTCTCAAGTTCAAACTCTAGTTTTATACTTCCTACTCATCATATGACCCAGTATAGAGTATGTGATTTTCTTTGACTCCCAGTTCCTCCTCTGCAAAACAAATGAGAATGACAGTGCGTATCTCATAGAGTTGTGGTGAGGATTAAATGAGATAATGCTTATAAAATTGCCCAACACAGAGCCTGGAACATAAATGAGTTCAACTGATGTTAACTATGATTAGTATTTTGTTGTCATAATTAAAGTTTTAATATTCACAATATTATTGGAGAAAATCAATCTTTACTTGTTAAAACAAAACTTCCTTCTCCTAGGGAAGGTGATAAATAAGGTGATGGCAATTCCCTCGCCACCTTCTGTCCATTTAGCAACTGGTGTAGGGGAGAATCTGGTGACATTTGGATGTGAGGCTGTCATTCTGACACTATCAGATCACTCTGATGTCAAAGCTATAACAGGATGAGGCAAATCAGGTGGACACACATGTCAAGTCCACCAAGAAATTACAGTTCAGGTTCCACCTGGGGGTGGTGGACAGTTCAGTAACCCCTGTACATCCCTAAATAAACTGGATTATGTACTGTTCCACCCCAACCCATGTGACAAAAGCCAACAATAACACAACCACCACCACGGGTCCATCACTATGTATCCGCCTGCTGACAAGCCTTTCCCTTCCTGCAGGAAGCCCTCCTGGTCAGTCCAGCCAAGCTCTGAGCTACAAAGCAGAAGCATGGTGCACTCACTGAAGTCTCGGGCAGTTCAAAGCCAGGGCTGTGAGAGAGGCGTCTGTGAGGTTGCTGCAGCCAGAAAGGCACAGGGCCTGTAGCCGATGGCAGCCCCTGCATATCTGCACCACGCCTTCATCTGTAATGCGCTGGGGAAAGCCAGAACAGGAAGGAACGTCAGAAGGCACCAACAATACTGAAATGAGAGCCGCAGAAAAATGGGATCTACTGCTGGTCAGTTAGTTGGGTTGCCAAATACTAGCATTTTATCCTAATAATTTAAATAAAACAAGATGAAGTACAGGGTTGACATGTATTTGTTATCTCTGCACAGCTTTAAAATATTCTAGCATTACTAACAGAGAATGAAATTTTTTAAAAAGATTTATTTATTTATTTATTTATTTAGAGAGCGTGTGTGCAAGCAGGGGGAAGTGCACAGAAGACATAGAGGGAGAGAATCCTCAAACAGACTCCCTGCTGAGCACAGATCCTGACACAGGGCTCGATCCCAGGACGCAGAGATCATGACCTGAGCCGAAATCAAGAGTCAGATGCTCAACTGACTGAGCCACCCAGGTGCCCCCCGCCGAAGAGTGAAATTCAAAAATTTCATCCCCTTCCCCAGAGTTCATTTGATTTTATTTTTTTTCAGGAAAAATTCATAAACTTGTGTTAAACATCAGATTAAATAAAGAGCTCATAAGACTTGCCTGGTTAAGTGACATGATAATTTTTGGTTGAATTTTTACAGATTAATGCTTTAAATATCTACCAGATAAATCATATATGTATATATTTATTTATTTTTAAAGATTTTATTTATTTGACAGAGCGCACACACACAAGTAGGCAGAGTGGTAGGCAGAGGGAGAGGGAGAAGCAGACTCCCTGCTGAGCAGGGAGCACGATGCGGGACTCAATCCCAGGATTCTGGGCAGACACTTAACCGACTGAGCCATCCAGCCACCCCATATATGTATATATTTATAATATTTCCTCAAATGTTTTAGAAAATAGCAAATGAAATAAATCATTAAATTATTGATAAATGACTTGCATATTTTTTTTAAAGATTTATCCATTTTAAAGACAGACAGAGAGAGAGAGAGAGAGACAGAAAGAGAGAGAGTGTGTGTGTGTGCCACGAGGGAGAGGGAAAGAAGCTTCAAGCAGACCTGCAGGGGGCCCAATCCCACAACCCATGAGATCACAACCCATGACATCAGGACCTGAGCCAAAACCAAGAGTCGGACGCTCAACCAACTGAGCCACCCGGGTGCCCTTGGCTTGCACATTTATATTCTACTTGAAGTCATCTGCCAGTGCTCTCCTACACACACTGCAAGATCCTAATATTGAGCAGTACCCATAAGTCAGAAGAAATTCCGGAAAGACAGAAACTGTCCAGAAGACAGTTTCTGTTCTAACTCCCACCATCAAGGATTCTAAAGACATATGACTCATTCACTGAATACCAACTGCAAGGATTTCTCTTACATTTCTCAAAATTTATGTTCCCCTTGAGAAACCCAGGAGGATCTAGCAAGCATTCTCTTTAAGGATCAATACCGACAATGGCAGTGAGGACAGAATAATAGTTTTTCACATGCTAATGCCACGATGAAAATTACACCTTGCTCTTGCATGCATCCTTTATTTTTCAAAGCATTTTAACATCTATCATTTCATTTTATCACTGAGACGTGAGCAGTGTCATTATCCCCAGTTCATAAGTTAAAAAAAAAAAAAAAAAAAAGACACTGAGACCTTACATGAATTTGTTCAGGTCAGTGACTAGTTCACAGCATTTCTGATATCTTAAAATAAACCAAGATGTCAATCTATATTATTTTTAGGAGGAAATGTGAGTGGCTTTGTATTGGCCACTTTGTTTAGACTGTTATCCTTTCATCTTGTGGCAAACCGACAGATTGTATGAGGACGCAGAATAAGAAAAAAAGGTGTGGCGACCATCCCTCCTGCCTGGGGGCTTCAAAATGGGGCCCACAGGAGACTCAGGGAATGTGGGACAGGAGGGTGCTCCCAGGAAAACACGTTACTTACTGAGCAGGACTGTAAGTTGAGGCTCACAAGCTCATGGCAGTAATTCTGAATGTGTTTCAGAGCTTCATCTTCTAACTGAGTGGACAGAGAAAATGAGAGGGATGGAACCAGGTGAGGGAATGGTGAGCTAAGAAAAATTCAACAGCAAGTTCTCTAATGAAGTGCCCACACCTCATGTTAGAGAAACACACCTCAAGCAGCCCCCTCAGTACCTGTGTGCAGCCCCTCAGGAGCAGGGCTTTCAGGCCTCGACAGCCTCGCACCAGTGCCTCAATGCCATCCTTTGTGATCTGGTCACACCAAGAGAGGTTCAGGTACTCCAGGTTTCGGCAGCCCTCACTGAGAGAGCAAGAAACAAGACCACACATGTGCAATCCATCCTATAGATAGTTCATTACCAAGTCTGAGTTTAGTAAATCACAAACAATTAAGGGGAGAGAAAACCTCTGTGACCTGAGGCACCAATTTCTTGTTCCAATGGGATTATTAGAAAGGTTTTAGACACACCAGGATGCTCATAGGTTTAGGTGTTTCTTCTGACAACAGGTACTCTCACCTGATCCCCTTTAAGGAGCTGTTTGTAATGGACACACAGGAGGTCAGATCCAGATGTTTCAGCTTGGAACAGAATCTGCTAAGGCTATAACACGTGCTGGAAAAGAGCAGACACACTAAAGATATTTTCAACCATGTTTCTCTCCCCTCACTCTCCCCATGGTCAATTAGTCACCAAACTCATTCTCATCCCTTACCTGTCAGTGATTTTGGTGCACCCATTGAGGTTTAAATGTTCAATGTTTCGGCAGTTCTGTGCAAAGGTCCTAAAAAGAGAAAACATTTTAAAACTCCATGGTCAGCCACTAGAGGGCACGTGTCACTATTCACATTTAAAACAGTGCTCCTCAAACTTTCACATTTTATTTTACTGTGGAAAGAACACTTAACATGAGACTTACTCTCAACAAATTTTAAGTGTACAATATATTATTGTTGACTATAGGTACTGGTGCTCCTGAAACTTTAATATGCACATGAAACAGCTGGGGTTCTTGTCACAGAGCAGATTCTAATGGCATAGCTTGACAAACTGCTTGATGGTCTGCCTTTCTAAGAAATTCCCAAGTGATGCCACTGCTGCTACTCTGGGAACTACACTTGGAGAAGCAAAGCCTAAGAGTGATGACGTATCCATCATAATTCTCCTTCAACCCACACCTTGGTGAATACCTGAGAATGGAGGCCTGGCTCCTTGTTCCTTCCTCTCTATAGGAAAATCAGCTGGAAGCAAGGGGACTGAATCTTTCTTGTATTGTGCCATGCGGTCATTTGGTTATTCAAGAGCCTTTCTGAAGAAACTATCTTTGGCCATCAATAGGGTCAGTAGTTGATCAGTATGAAGAACCATTCACTTAGTGGTGAGGATACTGAGTTATGAAGGGCAACTTCCTCAATGATTTGTGGTTGACAGAAAGGCCAAAAGTGGAAAATTAAACATCCCTTACTCACCACTTATTCCTTTACATATTCAGCAAGGACTGGCTTGGGTCACCTACATTTTCCTGAAATACAGCTTCGACGTATTTATAGTGTTGAGTCCTGATTCTTCCATACAGTAACCAAATGTCTCCAAAACCTGGCCTCAAACCATGTCACTCTTATCTGCTCCTTCTACCCTGGTATGGTGTTATGGAACTGACCTGGAGGCTGGTGGAATCCCTGAGTTGAAGATATGGAGCCAAAATCTGACCAAGGTCATTAGAGTTATCAGAGAAGAGTACAGGGGCACAGAGAACTTCAGAGGGTTTCCCTCAAGAATTCAACAGACTACTAATCAGAGCATGCATATAGGGAAACTACCCAAAGCCAGGGAAAAAATCATCAAAAAGCATTAAAAGGAACAATAGCCAGAGCTCACCTAGAGCCAGGAGAGTGCCCATTCCCATAAGCCAATAGTGAAAAATGTCTTAATTTGTGGGGCACTGGGTAGAGCACTGAGAAGTATCTTGCTTCAGGTGTACAATTAGTGCTCAACTAAACATGGCTTTGGTCCTACTTAACAAATTAAAAAAAGAAAAAGATTTGAAAGGAACTATGTCCAAATAACTGTGTCCAGAATAAAACTCAAGAATATTTATAGGAATACAAAAATATTCTGCACCCAAAATAAAATTCACAATGTTTGGCATTGAACAAAAAATTGGCATGTATTCAAAGAGGAAAATATATCCATAATGAGGAGAAAAATCAATCAAAGCTGACCCAAAACTGATGCAAATATTAGAAATAGTAGACTAAGACATTAAAAGTTATTGTAACTGTGTTCTGTAGAATATAGTTCTATGGAGCTACATAAAGATTAAACATGTTTTGTTTAGTAAATGTGTTATGTAGAGACATTAGAGTTATTTTTAAAGACCCAAATTAAACTTTTGGAAAATGGCTAAGATAAAAATTTTCTGGATGGGACTAACAGCAGATTAGACATTTTGGAAGAAAAGATTGGTGAACTTGAAGGCATGGCAACAGAAACTATCCAAAATGAAACATGGAAAGAAAATAAGGAAGGGGGAAAAAAAAAAGAAGAGCAGAGCATAAATGAGCTGTGGGACAGCTTTAAGCAATCTAATATATATGTGACTGAGAGTCCCCAAGGGATAGGAGATTGGGCAGGGGTGGGGGTGGGGTAGAATATCTGAAGAAGTAATGGCCAAAATTTTTCCAAAGTTTATGAAAACTATAAACCTACAAATCCAAAAAACTCAAAGAATTCCAAGCACGAGAGATATGAAAATACATCAAGGCATATCATAACCAAACTGGTCAAAACCAATAATGATAGAAAAATCTTAAAAGCAGCCAGACAAAAAGACACATTATGTACAGAGAAAGAAAAATAAGGGTGACAGATTTCTCACTGGTAACAAAAAAAAGCAAGAAAACAGAGGAGAAGCATCTTTAAAATACAGAAAAAACTGTCAACAAAATTCTATACTGAGCAAAATATTTTTTCAAAAATGAAGGAATAACTTTTTTTTTTTTTGCAGACACAGAAGAACTGGAAGAATTAATCAGATTTGCAGTACAAGAAATGTTAAGGACCATTCTATAGGTAGAAAAAAGAGTGACACTACACAAAGGAATGAAGAATGCTGGAAACAGTAACCACTTGGGTACATATATTCACTTTTTTAGTTATTTAAATCTCCTAAATAGTAATTGACTATTAAAAAATACTAACAATCTAGTGTGGAGTAGTTTGTACTATATGTAGAATTAAAATGTGTAACAATAATAGCATAAAGCCTGAGTGAGGAAAAATGGAAGTGATCTGTAATACAATTTGAAGGTAGACTATAACAAGTTAAAGATATACATTACATTACAAAAACTCTAAGGCAACCATTAAAATTACAAAATAATAACTTATAGCTCTAATCCAAAAAAGGATATAAAATGGAATCATAAAACAATTCTCAATACAAATGAAGGCAGAAAAAGAGGAAAGGGAAAGAAAATATGTATGGGACAAATAGAAAACAGCAAGAGAGTAAATTTAAAACTAACCATAATAGATCAATTCTCAAACTAAATGTAAATGATCTAAATACAAAAATCAAAAAGCAGAAATTGTAATAATGGATCAAAAAAGCAACATCCAACCATATATTTCCTACAAGAAAACAACTTTAAATATAAAGACACAAATTGTTGAAAACGAAAAGAATCCAAAATCATAAGCCAAAAAAAGAAAGCTGGCGTGTCTATATAATATCAGACAAAGTAGACCTCACAGCAAAGTATATTATCAGAGATAAAAGAAGGCCATGTGATAATGAAAAACTGGCCAATTCATCATAAAGGTGCAGCAACCCTACAGGTTTATATATCTAATAACAGAACTTCAAAATACATGAAGAAATAACCTGAGGAGAAGCAAATCTGAAATTACAGGCAGAGATTTCAATATAATTCTGTCAATATTTGATCAAACAAGTCAGAAAATCAGTAAAAATATAAAAGACTTGATCAACAGTCTTAATTCAACTTGATCTAATTGATATTTATATAATACTCCACACAAGAACAGTAGAGTACATATTCTTTTCAAGTGCACATGAACATTTACCATGACAGACCATATTCTGGGCTACAAACAAGTTTTAATAAAATTAAAAGGATTCAAGTCATATAAAGTATATTCACTGATCACAATGGAATTAAATTAGTAATCAACAACAACAAAAAAACCCCTGGAAAATGCCCAAATATTTAGAAACTAAATAACATGCTTCTAAATAATCCATGGGTCAAGGAAGAAATCAAAAGGGAAATAGAATACATTTTTAATGGAATGAAAATGTAAACAGAGAATAAGAATTTGTGAAATGCTACTAAATCAGTACTTCAGGAGAAAATCTTTATGACCTTGGGTTAGGCTAAGATCTCGTATATCACCAAAAGTATGATTCACCAAAAGCATGATTTATTCAAAAAAACTGTTAAGTTGAATTTCATTAAAATGAAAAACTCTGCAAAAGACAGTTAAGAGAATAAAAGGATAAGCCACAGACTGGGAGAAAACATTTACAAAACACAAATCTCATCAAGGACTTGTATGCAGAATATAACTCTCAAAATTCAAAGGTAAGACAAAAAACAATCTAATTTTTAAAAAAGGGCAAAACTCCCATATTTGAACAGATATTTCAGCAAAGAAAATATGTGGATAGCAAAAGTAAATAAAAAGATGCTCAACGGCATTAGTCATTAGAAATACAAATTAAAACCTAAATGAGATGCTACTACATACATCTATTAGAAAAGCTAAAATTGGGGCACCTGGGTGGCTCAGTCGTTAAGCGTCTGCCTTTGGCTCAGGTCATGATCCCAGGGTCCTGGGATTGAGCCCCATGTTGGGCTCTCTGCTCAGTGGGAAGCCTGCTTCTCCCTCTCCCACTCCCCCTGCTTGTGTCCCCTCTCTTGCTTTCTCTCTCTCTCTCTGTCAAGTAAATAAATAAAATATTTTAAATAAAACCTACCAAGTGTTGACAAGGATGTGAAGGAGCTGGAAGTACCATACACTTCTAGTGGGAATATAAAATGGTATAATCCTTTGGGGAAAGAGTTTGAAAGTTTTTAAAAAGTTAAACATGCACCTACCAAATGATCTAGCCATTCCACTCCTAGGTATTTACTCAAGAGAAATGAAAACATATGACACACAAAACCTTGTACACAAATGTTCATAGCAGCTTTATATATAATGGCTGCAAACTGGAAAGAATCCAAAGGAGAAATAAATAAACTGTAGTATATCCATACAATGGACTACTATTCAGCAATAAAAAAGAATGAACTATTGATACACACAACAACATGGATGGATCTCAAAACAATTATGTTGAGTGAAAGATGCCAGGAAAAAAGGAGTACATGTTGTATAATTACATAAAAATTGTTAAAAATTTAAACTAACCTAGATCAGTGGTTGCTTAGCAATGGGGCAGAGACAGGGAAGGAGGAAGGGAGGGATTATAAAGGCACATGAGGAAACTTTTACATGTGTATGTTCATTATCTTGATTATAGTGTTGGTTTTATGGGTATAATACATATTTCAAAAATTATCAAATTGTATACTTTTAATACATACAGTTTACTGTATCTCAATTATATCTCAACAGAACTGTTAAAAATCCATAGGACTCCATATATAATGATGCAGCAGGAGTTACAGAGAATATACATGTAAGATCCATTAGTATTGGAATTTTAATCTATTTTGATTACTGCTGTATCTCCAGTCCCTAGATCAGTGCCTGGTGGAGTAGGGCTCAATAAACATTTGCAAATGAATAGCCTCCCTCCATCTAAAACAACAACAATACACACGTAGGGCACAGTAGAGGCCAAGGCTGGCTTCAGGTGATTATGATAAAAAAATGGAGACATAACAAAATTCTTTCTGAGTTGTATTCTGGAATTATGCGTATATTATTTCTCACAGTAATCTGGTCTCACACACCAAAAATGTATAAGATAATGGGGCAGCTGGGTGGCTCAGTTGGTTAAGCATCTGCCTTCTGCTTAGGTCATGATCTCAGGGTTGTGAGATTGGGCCCCGCATCGGGCTCTGCACTGCTGAGGGTGGAGCCTGCCTAAGATTCTCTCTCCCTCCCTCTCCCTCTGCCCCTCCCCTGCTCTCTTGCATGCGCGTGTCCTCTCTCTAAAAAAAAAAAAAAAAAGTACAAGATATTAATATAGATTTCCACTATAAAAAGTATGGTACACCACTAACACTCTTAGCTTCTCAGGATAGTTTTGCTAGTATATATGGCTTTATTCCAACTGCCAAAATAAGAATATATTTCTTTTTTTTTAAATTCAATTAGCCAACATAAAGAAGATGTGGTTTTATATACAATGGAATATTACTCAGCCACCAGAAAGGATGAATACCTACCATTTACACTGACATGGTTGGAACCGGAGGTATTATGCTAAGTGAAATGAGAATATATTTCTTTGATATTCCTCATTGACAATCCACATCTTCTCATTTTAGTTTAATGGAACCACTATTAAACTTATGTTCTCTTTCATAAATTATCTTAGGACCTATTTGGTCCTACATTTAAGCTTTGTATTAAAATAGAATCAATCTATTCCATCAGTTTACAAAGCTTTTGGAGTACCAGAAAATTTGGTCTGATGATCTGAATTTCTTGATTAAAAAAAAAAAAACACTTTGTTCCATAACATTTATAGGCAGTGTTTTGATCCTTAAAATATGTTATGAATCAATTTTCTAAGCAATGGTATAGCAGATGTTTCAATTACAAACTCCACTATCTATAATCACTATGTACTGCACATTCTTACTGGCAATTGCAATTGATATACATGGTAGTGATGCTTAGGTCTGCAAGAGACAAAGTCTATCCCAAGGTTCTAAGGGTAGTGTGTGTTCAAATTTAGCCAACCTCAAACAATAGTAGAAGCCATAAGGATAAGAACATAAAAGTTTAATTATGTCTTGTCTCCAGAAAAGCACATGTCCTTAACAGTGGATTGATAACATTTCCAATAAATAATTGCTATCCAATAAGAGGTGGGCAAGCATTTGTTTGGATAGGATACAATTAGATAATTACATCCCATCATGAGTAAGCAAAATCCCAGGTGTGCTAAGGAAGTTTTTGGAAGAATTATTTTGTTAAGTAGTATAATATACAAAAAAGGCAGTCACTCTTATGAGAATGAAACTAGGAAGATCAGCAAATGAAGAAGGGAACAGCGGAGTCAACTATTATGCACCAGGCACTTCATACGTGTTGCTTCATGTGATACCCATGACATTCTCATGCAGGAACTACAGCTGCCTTCTCTTTGTAGAAGAGAGAGCGGACACTCGGAGAGGTGAAATAATTTGTCCTAAAGACATATCCCAGACCCAGGCGTGCTGACTCCCAAGTCATGGTTCTTTTAGTTCTCTATGCAAATTACCATAGAAAGAATTTAACAGAAAAAAAGCACATAATATGCTTGGTTTATTCTTGCTGATGACAAGTCAGCTATAAGCTGCCATGACAGAGTGAGTCACTGTGGATTCAACTTACTTCAAGGAGGAATCCCCAACACCAATGCAGCCTCGCAAGCTGAGCTTTCTCAGGAATCCACCACATCGCTTTGAGATATTTTCCACCACTCGACCCTTGAGTCAAAAAGTCAGAAAAAAATCTCATTTTTCATGCTGCTTATCTAACAGCATAATAACCTGTAATTTAGAAACTGAATATATTTTTCCAGGTGTAAAAGAAGCTATTCTGGAGCATTCCTCCAACACCCCACTCTGTTCCTAAAGGAACTGAAAGCATTGAAAAATGTTTTCAATTAAAGCATTAAGTATTCAAAAAAATTAGTGCACTATATTTTGGAAGTTTTAGGTCTGGAGGTAGGCCTCCTGTACCCAGAGCTACCTCGTCCATTACAAGGTTCTTTGAGGTCAGCTGTGGGAATGCTGGCTGCTGAGCGGCACTCTCAAACGACACTGCTCCAAAAAAGAATGAAAGAATGAAAAAAAGAAAGAAAGAAAGAAAGAGAGAGAGAGAGAGAGAGAGAGAGAGAGAGAGAGAGAGAGAGAGAGAGAAAG